AGAGCCAATGAAGTCATAGGGAGAGCCACCTATCCTGTTTTCTCTAGGAAAGTTGAATGCGTGCACAATTCCTATGTAGCTACTGCACAACAAGAAAGAGAAACGAAAGTAAACGAGAGGATGAAGACATGCCCAGTCTGGAGCTGCAGTTCTTACTGCAAGCCGCTAGCTAGGGGTAATTCACAGTGACAGAAGAGAAGCCAGCCTAGCCTGTCTCAGACCGGGGCCTGAGCTGTTTAAGCAGAGTCTACGTGGCTATGCTAATACTGATGGCCAAAGGGAGAGGGGAATGCATGCGAGGGCTTGGGCAGGCCAGAACGAGCCCTTTTGGCGAGGAGAGAGCTAGCCCCAGTGTCGTCCGTCCCCCCCCCGCCTGACGCCAGAGCCGTGCATCAGCGGTGGAAATCCACATGCCCTGAGCGCTCCTCCTGGGCACGTTAAGCATCACTTTAGCCTTTTTTCCCGCGCCTGAACCCCCCAGCCCGGGCTGCTCTGGGGGCAGCGCCGGCCCCGCAGAGGACGCGCGTGAGGAGCTCCCTCGCCTCAGCGCCTCAGCCTTAGGTGGCTGCCGCGCAGGCTAACGGCTCCCTAGGGTGAAGGGACCTCCTCCATCCCCCTTCCTCCCGCCGTCCCTGCAGCTCCCCCTCCTCCCGATGTAACAGGGCAGCGGGAGAGGGGAGGAGGGGCGGCCGCGGAAACAGGGCCGAGCTTCACCTCGGGCAGTCTCAGTCGGGTACAGCTTCTGGGCCTTGCCGAGGAAGCGGAGAGCACGGTCACGGTTGCCGGCCTCCAGCGCCTCCCGCGCGATCCCGATGCACTTCTCGGCCTCGTCCCGGTTCCCCTCCATGGGCTTTTCCTTCCGCCGCCTCCGCCCGCCGCAGCGCAGAGAGAAGGGGCCTGAAGCCAGAGCGGAGCCGGGCGGAGCCGAGAAAAGAGAGGAGCGGAGAGGGCAGGAGTGCGGGCAGGGACTCCCCTCACTCCGCAAGGCTCATCCCGCCGCGCAACTCCGCGCCGGCGGTACCCGCAGCCCCAGCGCGGCGCTCGGCCCCGGCACCCAGCCCGGCCCGCGCCTGCTTCCGGGAAACCGCCGCGCATGCGCCACCTCGCGGGCCCGGGGTCGCCCCGCCCGCCCTACCGCCAGCCCCGGGACCCTGGCAGCAGCCCTGCGGAGGACCTACGCTGCAGCCAGCGGCACGCTCATCCCTGTCGGGAGCGCTGTCGCCCATCCGCACGTCCGCGGGGCCCCACTGCCCTCCGGCCACAGCCTGCGGGAGCCGTCTAGGATGGAAAAGTACCGGGCGGGTGGCCGTGACTACCGCTGCACTGCGGCCTAGAGAGCACCGCAACGCCGGCCTGCTGCAGCCTTTGTGGAGCCCGCGAGTTGTAGTTCTTTAATTAGCTGTGCTTGAAGGGGCCGGCTAGCACCTTGTAACAGCTGCCTGTTATTAGCAAAAACAATCACACCCTGCCGAGGGCTGCGTTGCTGCAATGAAAACCCTTGAGTGGTGCTACAGTGAAGCACCACAGCTTCAGGGGACAAATGCAGCTAATATATGTCTAACCAAGACCTGCAATCTAGGTCAACGCCTTCCAGCTACAGTGCTGCAGCACAGAGTGTTACTTGAAAGGGGTTAGGGAAGCAAAATAAGGATGCTAAACAGGCTCTATTAAGTATTTTGCTGCTGGAAGAGCAGTTGTGGAATGCAGAGAGCTTGCTGCCCCCAGGCACAGGAACTGTTCTCTACAGCACCTCTTGCACCACAAAAAGGATGTGGTTTTCCCCACTGCAGTTACAGGCAGACCCTCTCTGGGAGAAGTGGATTTACAGAGAGATGGAGAACCTACCTTTATTCTACTGCTATGATGGATGCTACTGTATGGCAGAAACCATAACTTCAACACACCATCCTTAAACTCTAGCCCTATAGTTTAAACCCTCACCACTATAAGATGCTCCAAACAGCAACCATGTGCTTTCCAGTTCAGACTGCAGTAGAGATAAAGCTGACCTGTGGGAAATGCCACACCAGGACAGAGCTATTTGACTGCTGTGTTGGGAGCAGGTTTTGGACTCTGCCTCCAAGTTTACACATGAGCCAGGAAAGGCTGCTGCAGTACAGCCTTTGCTTTTATTCATGTCTCTCTACGGTTTTCTACAAGAAAGAGTGAGAGAAATCCAGCTCTATGATAAGGAAAATCGGCTGAAGTTGGGGATTTCCACCATCCATCCAGCTTACCTTCCTCCCCCTCCATGACAAAGCCCTTCTCTCTATGAAGGCTGGCATCAAGTAAAACTGGCCTTGAAGTAGCATCAACCTGACATCTGTCCTACTAGAGGCACCTGTCACTCTGCACAGCAGGCTCAGCTGGCAAGAGTGTAACTTGGCAGGATGAAACCTGTGTGCCTTCTACTGGATGATATTTCCCAAGTGCAACATTCCAGGACTGTTTCCACACCCAAAGTACAGCTGCCAGGACCACCAGAGTTGCACATTCTTCAAACAACTCAGAGCCGTGTAGTCGAGACGAAGTATTTTTCAGTTAGTGGACAAGAGACAATCAGTCTTGACATAACATTTATTGAATATTTCCACTCTAGTGGATGAAAAGTCTGTACAAAACCAAACATTTCCTTTACTTAAACCAATCTATAACCAGTCAGCTCAATCAGAACTCACTACAAATACAATAGCTTCTTTGAAGCCATGGTAACACTTAAATACGGTTAAGACTTCAATGCAGAAATTTGGTTTGTTAGAGAGCTCAAGGGAGCTTCAGTTTTCAAAGTTACAAAAAGGCAAAATTGTGTTTCACAGATACAGTCCACTGGAATCACCAACACTGGACAATTAAGTACTTAAGAGTCCTGAGATAACAAGGAATCCTGGTATCCTTTAGACAGTTTTCTGTTGTCCTTTCTTTCCAATGAGAGACTTATGGATATGCGGTATTACACCTAAGAAACAGCAACAATTGAGACCATGTTATTTCTCAGTTTTCCTAAACTCTGCTCTTCAAGCAACAGCATTAACCAGCCTCTAGATTGATAAGAAGTCTTGCCACCCAACCCATCACAAACAGCAAGAAATCTACATACCACCACCAGCAATTGTTGCCTTAATGAGAGAATCCAATTCCTCATCTCCTCTAATCGCAAGCTGCAAGTGGCGGGGAGTGATACGTTTTACCTTCAAGTCTTTGGATGCATTGCCTGCCAGCTCCAGAACCTGAGGACAAGTAAACCGAGTTACACAAACCAAAGTGAGACCAACTGCATGGCCTTTGCTATTTTACTCTCTGTGCCAAGTACACTAGCAACACCACCAAGATGGCAAACAATGCCTCTTCTGAAAGGGTTCCTCCTTTGAAGCCCTGCGTTTAGTTTTCCAAGAATAGAGTGAGTTTTACAGCAGACACAAGTATACTGACACAATTTGTAAAATACTTCACCCTTCCATCTTTCCTGTAAGTCAGTGATTTGAGCTGCAAGAAATGCAGAAGTGCATCCACTTAAAACTGGCTTAAAGCAAGTTCACAGCCCAGTCCAAACTGGCAAAACCACAGCAGGCTCTGACCATTATGCCATTTTGGAGTTGACCAACTTGCTTGCATCCCCTGCAGGAGCTTTACCTCAGCTGTCAAGTACTCCAGGATTGCAGCACTGTACACAGCAGCTGTGGCTCCTACACGTCCATGGCTGGTAGTCCTAGACTTCAGATGCCTATGGATGCGGCCAACAGGGAACTGGAAAATAACAGAAGTATGAACAGGCTATGACGAAGGAGACAGAAAAAGAAAACCACATGCTGGGCAACAGAAGCCCAGTGGCAGAAGTACAGGCTACATTTCAACACTTGAGAATCCAACTTAGGACACGCTATGCCAAGTTTACATCACAATTCTAACCATTAACAGCCACAAAGGAATTTTCTTCCCTCCTGCACAGATCTGTAGAGGGTCTAAAAATAATCCAAGCCAGACATCAAACTCAAGGATTAAACAGATCCTCATGCCATAATGAACAACCAAGAGACAGCAGACTCTAAAAGTCTCACAAGGTACAACCAACCAAGACACGGAAGGCCGACCTGACTTTCCCTAATGCATGCCCCAGTCCCTGCTCACCTGCAGTCCAGCCCGCTGAGAACGGGACACTGCTTTGGTCTTGGTCTTTCCGGAGTCCTTCCCAGCTTTACCACCAGCCTGGCAATGAGAAGAGGTCTGTAAAAACGGCTGCGCCAACCCCACCACCCCCACTTCCCCCCGAGGAACCATACCTGAAGGCACCACGGCAGCGCCTTACCGCGCATGCGCGCCCCTCCTCCTCCCACTCCGCCCTTCTCTACCGCGGGGAGGCACGCGCGCCACCAAGGCGCGTGCGCGCTGCCCGCTACACCTAGCGGCACAGCCAGCTTCCCGAGCGCATGCGCAGCAGCCACTCCCTCTCCCCGGCGCCACTAGTGCGCGAGACCCCCCCCCACTTTCGCCTCCCCCCCTCCCGCCCGCGCTCCCCTCCGTCGCGTGCACTCCCACCTCACACAAAAGGGCGCAACGGACCTTGATCCCTGTCCCTCCTTCTACATTCCCCCCCCCCCCACTAGCACGGCCCCCTCGGGTGGCCCCACGGCTCCTCACCATCGCGAACCGGAGGGCAGCGCCGCGCAGGGGCTGATGGAAGACGAGAGCGTCCCTCACTGACGGAGCCCGAGCGACAACAGTGACCTTCCCCAACCCCCCGCGATTCAAACTGCGCCCGCTCCCGCCTTCCCCCGGCGCTTTATAACCGCCGAGAGTCCCTGCATCCGGGTACCGCAGCCCCGCCCCTAGCCAATCGCTGCGAGCAGGGGCGGGTCGCTCTCCCCAGCGACAACCAATGGCGAGGCGGGGTGGTGCCAGTCTGGTGGTGCGGAGTGCGGCAAAGGCCCTGCCTCTATTTAAAGGGACAGGCCTCTCCAAAAGTGAGGGGGTTTGATTCCCGGGGGGACAGGGGTGCCCGTGCGAGAGACTGTCGAGGTTCGCTTCTCAGCGCTTCCCCCCTACTCCGGCCGCCTTTCGCCGTTATTTCGGGGAGATGGAGGCACAGACCCTGCAGGTCCCGACATAGGACGCTCTCCCGCTGCGGCGGTGCTGCCTGGGTTGGCGTGGGGCGCTCCCGCGGAGAAGCCGCCCGCCCGCGATCGGGGGGTTAGGGGGGGAGCTTTCGAGCGTGCGGGGCTGTGGAGTCCCTTCACGAGTCTCCGGCAGCGGGTCTTGCCCTCTGAGAGCTGGAGTCCGATGGAAATTAAATAAACAGAATAAAAACCGCGCATACCTGGAGGGGGCTGGCAGCCGCAGCAGCTGCCCAAGGGGCCGCGGCCCTCCCCGCAGGCCGCAGTGCTGGCCCTCAGCCAGCCCCTCCTACCGGGCCACCACTCACCTCCCCCAAACTGAGGCGTGAGGGCCTGGCCCTACCGGCCTCGCCACGCCCAGGAAGGGGGGAGAACCGGCTGTCTGCTGGGGTCAGCGGTGCGAGAGGTGGCTGTGTGCAGGTATCGAGCGACCTGAGGCATTTGTGAGGGGTTGTTTATTGACGGGTGCCATTCCTTGTACCTAGTCTCGCTCTGTCTACCCTTCTGTGCGGCTTGATGTAGATTCACTTTTAACTTTATTGGGGGAGGTTGAAGCCTTCCACAGTAAAGTTAATTGACTTAGTGCACAAAGCATTTCAGAAGCAGCCTGAAGGAGATTACATCCCGGTCTCGGGATGAGGAGCTACTACACTGCATTAGCGAAGACACGAGGCTGCCCAGTGCCATTTGACTGAGGATGAAGTCGCATTTACTCTTCATGATGCTGGGGGTGGGGAAGTGCCGGCGTGGCCAACAACTCCGCATGGCTGCACTGTATTTATTTTTGCCTCCGTCTTATGCAAGAGACACAGGATTAGCAAGGGCAGCCTTGCCTCAGACCTATTCGTCTCACTGGATATTTAACACAGTATGGGTAAAATCTGTTAATCGCGAAGTTGGTTCCAACTGTAACATTTAATTAATGCAGGGCAGATGTCCTCAGCTTGGGCACTTCAAATCCCTGCCTGTATTCCCCTGAAATGAAGCCCCACGTGCCATTTTCAATACAGCATCATTATTTCTACTTTAGAATAAAGCAGCATAGATATTTAACCTCAGTTGACCCACCTCCTTCAACTCCAAAAAGGTAGCAATTCATTGTACTCCTCCAGAACATCATAGGTCTCTGTTATCTGTGAGATACCCCATTCATCTATGAGTATGCAATATGCTCAGGGGGAAACTCTGGCCCTTCAATGGCTGAATGCCTCTTTAGAGGTAAAACTAAATCTCATGCAATTTGCCAATCTAATCACAAAACTACCACTTAGTAGGTGTTCATGTATGTATTCTCTGATATCAAAGGGTCCTAAGCATGACGAGTACTCTTACAGACAGACATTTAGTAGGAAATAGAGCTGAGGGCATAAAGTTTTCATGAGGATACTCTCCTTACCATAACTTTCCCACTTTCTTCAGGTCTGCAACAAGCAAAATAGAGTGCCAAGATAGGAGGGTATGTGCTGATCCCTAGAGCTCTCCTTCAAGGTCTTTCCATCAGTTCACTGAAATAGTAAGGATTTAAAACTTTGTGTCTCTTTTGCTTCTAAAGCTGACCCCAAATACTTGGTGTCCTGCTTACAAAGGACCTTTTGCTCCAGCCTCCAGGAAGCCTAAGGCCACGTCATCAATGCCTTCAACACAGTGCTTCAGTTTGGGCATTTTGCCCTAGCTGCTACTGCTTCAGGGAGACATACTTCCAGGCACACACAGAGTGAGGCAGGACCGAACTGAGAGCAGACACTCCTACATGCAGGAATCTGGTGGTTTGTTTTTATGTAACTGTCTGGTGCCTCTGTCTATTTGAAGCATTAGTTGTTTATGCTTTCCTTCAGTGAGCAAAAAGATAAGAGAGTTTGGATTTAGTTTTTTACAGTTTAAAAGTAAATTTCAAGATTTTAAAGAAGCCTGTAGAAGTTAAGATTTCATTCATCTTGCCATTAAAAAAAAGTATTTCTGTCCAAAACGCTTACAGCAAGCATCCATTTCAGGTTTTTTCCTACAGGGAAGAGAAGCCAAACTGCAGGTTACAGACCCTCTGGGGACAGCATTTGAGATGCAGGAGGAGAAAACCTGTTTTTTTTTTCTCCCTGATTTCTGTCCACAGAAGGGCTAGGAAGCGGCGGAACAGAAAGGCCTCATATCAGGTGGAGATAATCCCTGCCACAGAAGTTCCCTGCTTCCCAGACAAGCTTCCCCAACAGCTTGCTTTGGCTGCATGCTTCCAGCTACTCATGGCTCCTTACAGCTGGAGGTTAGGCAAGGCAGCCTAACACTGAAGGTTAAGCTAACTCAAGGATGTATATTTACTAAACAGATCATGTCAGGTAGGGTACACGAAACTAGCCCCAGATCATCTCATGCTAGCTAACAAGCTTCTAACAAGCACAACCTGCCCCCTGATATTTAAAGAGAGAAATTAAAACTAATTTAGGAACACCAGGAACAGCCCCAAAGCAACTTCAGACCCAGTTGTAAGCACAAATAACCTCAATCCCACAAAGGGAGTACTTACCACCACCATCACCCTAATGAAACCAGTACCCCAAACCTACCCTCAAGTGCCTTATCCAGTTTTTATAATGTAACCACCTCATGGGAGAGAAGAAAGACACTCATTAAGGGGCTCAGAGCAGAGTAATTGGCTTTTATTGGTCCAGTTAACATTAATAGGTCCTTTTAAGAAGGTGAAAAACTCCTCTAAAAGGAAAGGTAATGGGGAACCTGGTGAGGAAAGACACAGTCATGCAGTGTGTCTAGAAAGGGAATTGCTGATACTTGGGCTTGTGTAATAGTGTTCATACCCTGTTGTCTCAGTGCTGAGGTGTGCTGAGGCATCTTTTTATTATCTCTGAAGGCCAAAGGGGGAAGAGCGTTGCATATTTTACCCAGCCCTTGTGCCACTGCTTTATTAGTATTAAGTTTTTCTGATGCATCTCATTACAAGATATATTTGTGCTTAACCATTGTCTGTGTTACATATTCTGTGACTGACCTCCTCTTGCTGTAGAACATCACACACAATTCAACAGACACGCTGCTGATACGGTGCCCTGGAGAGTAGGCGCTTCACACCTACCCTGTGAAGCTGGATGTCTGTGCTGGTGGTATGCAGGCCAGCTCTGAGTGCTGTGTCTTGCTGTAGCAGGATTTGTGCAGGTCCTCACTGAGAGGCAGTCAGCTTTGCAGCAGGAGCTACTGGGTAAAGATTATCTCCCCTTTGGAGCAGAGAGTTGTAGCTAAGGACATTTGATCACCTGGCTCTGTTCTTAGGGCATATATTTCAACATGTGTTAGAAGCATTGGGGTGTAGTGCTGCTTTCCTTTCTACTCTGTCTACTACTTAATACAATTTCTGTGGAGACTAACACTCATTTTCATTTGCCTCCAAAATATAGACAGATTCTGTAAGGCAGGGACCATTTCTCACCCCTCACTATTAGGTTATGAACACAGTATTATTTGGTCTCTCACAAGGTTGTAGTTTCTGCAGAAGTGGTGGTGATCATCTTCCATTAGTAGATTAATGGATGAATCGTTTCCAGAAAGCTCTTTGTATCACATCCCTCAGGGAACTTTGCAGTTTCTGGATCCTTAACAAGTTTATGTGAGAGCTAGATGCCTACATACTCAGCCCTGCCATGATATTCCTGGGGTACAAATTTGAGTATCTGGGGAACTTTAAAGCCACACAGGAGAAGGCATTTGAGAAATTCAACTTTTTAGGTGACAGTTACGCAGAGATAGCTTAGTTTTTATATGCTGGTTTTAGTCAGAGGTTTTAGTGTGTCTAAATTTGACCTAACACCCCCTTAGGTGAGTAATTTAGTTTGTTGGGGTTTTTTTTAAAGTTTGTAATCACCACTTATATTCATTTAGGCTCTGTTTTTGTGGTGAGATCAGTTACAAATGCCTTGTATTTGCCCCTGGAGTCCTCCCCCTTTGCAGAGAATTTCCCTGCTGCCCTTTTGCAGGACCTCTATCAAATAACAGGATTCTGCTCACTTGGATCTCTCTGCTGGCTGCTGTGTTTGGCTTCAGGAAAATCATACCCTCTCTGGTTTCACGGTTGTGTTGTATGCAGTGACAAATGGATGCAACTGTTCTGTTTAACAGATACTTTTATTAATCTGGTATCTGGAAACAAGCTTTGCATGTCTCTCTAATACATCTGCAAATAACATTTGCTTACTGATTTCAGAGAATCTTGAATTGCCCTTATATCTATGGTGGTGTTCTTACAGAATCATACATTCTTCTATCAGCAATTATAGTGTCATCATGTCTAGTCTGAATAGATTTTTATCTTGTTTCTGTTTAGCCAGCTGTGAAAGGAAGCTATAGCTAGTTAGGCAGAATGAAACAAGAGTCTGTCAGAGATAGTGCCAGCCAGAATACCTTACCCTCATCCTTCCCATCGTCTAGTGCAGAAACTTATCTTTCCCCACTCTCTTGTTGTTGCTGTATGCCTAAGTCCTCCCTCTTCCCCCCATTTGAGCTCCATTTAGGATAGCAACTGAAGTAATATTTACACAGTTTTGTGTGGTGCTATAAAGACGTATACTTTATAGTTGGAGTACCTGCTCCAACTGCATTCAAGTTGAGGAACTCTTGGGGTGGATCTGGTTTGCCATGTGATACCTATGCCCAGAGGCCACTGTAATTAAACAAGCTTGTACTGATTGTGGCATTTGGTTAGACTAATCTCTTTTCCTAAGAAAGCAACCTGGAAAAACCTTTTGGGCTAATTGCTTCTTGTTGTTTAATTCACCATCACTCCCAGACTAAGCCTACATTGTAAACCGTCTGCATCTGATGTGGTGATGGCACTGTCTTTGATTTGGACAGGTAGTGTGCTATGAGCATGTTTTATTTCAGTTCATTCTGTCAATAATATGTATAACATAATTCTTTCAATAAGTGTGTGCTTCCTCAGTCAGTCTGCTTACTAAAAGGTCTAAGTTAATTTGGAACAAAGAGAAGCAGACATTAAAAATCAAATAAGGGAAGATGAACCCCATGTTTCACATCTGGCTTTCAGTTCAATCCTTTGAAAAGAAAATACTTTCTTTGTGGGACTTCAGTCTAGTCACCAGCTCTCCCAAACAGTGACTTTGTTCTATTAACTCTTCACACCCACAGCCACCCATTCCTCTTCCAGCACTTGACAGCTAGTTTTCAATTGATGGGGAGTATCTTAGCAGTTCTATCCCTGACCATGCCAATGCACCAAGGAGGGAAAGAGAAACGGTGTTATTAGATTAATCTTTTATGTGGAAAAGAAACGTGAAGAATGTAATGTTTTCCTGAATGTGGCTGGTTCCACATTTTCAATCAAAATGCTCCTTTGCAGGAGCTGGAAGTGATTCTTCACAACTTGTTTTGTGAAGATGAAAGGGAAAATAGAATGCTATCTGCCCCTTGGAAGAGCAGAGAGAAAATTCGCTGGGGTTCTTGCTCTTTCCCTGCCAAAGTTATTGCAGGTAGCAATGGCATAGTCCTCAATTAATAATTCATAATTAATAATAACATGTTCTTGGGTTTTATCCACTGTAACAAAGAACTGCAAATACTGAGAAAAGTACCGATTTCACTGAGCTAGGTGAAAGGTGTCAGTATGAATATAACTATTACCAATACGCCTTTATAACAGTGATAAGAATAACTCAGGAACTCACTTCTGCCAGAGTTTGGGATTGCAGCTATAGGGTGGCTTATTCCCAAAAAGAATGACTGCTTGAGAGGTTTTGTGGTTTTTGGTTTGTTTGTTGGTTGTTTTTTTTTTCCCTTGATCTTTAAATTCTAATAATTGTAGCTAAAAAAAAAGAAAAAAGGGTAAGTAGGTATTAAACTCCTCACCATCTTTCATCTCTTCCTTGCTCTTTGCTGCAGTGAAGATCCTTCTCTTCTGCTCTGGACTTGTTTTGGACATCTCTAAGTTATTTTCGTTTCCTTAATGCAGAGGTTTGCACTTGGAAACAGTTGATCCTGCAGTACAACTGTCAATGTCCAATTAAATTTCATATACTGTGAAAATGATTTGCTCTTTGACCAGAAGCATGAAAATGGATCTCTTCAACTTAACGGGGCTGTGACTGAACAAATAGAACTGGCCCGATGGTGGCAGCATAACGTAAGAAATAAAATATGACAGTATGAAAGGTTTCCTCTTCAGTAAGGTTTTTAGGCTGAGTCATCACCATCAAAGAGGTATCCTTGTTCCTTTGGGATGGGGTTGCCTTTAAAACCAAAGCACAGCACTTATCCTGTTGTAAAACTGGAAAAAAACATTTTATCTTTTACTGTCAGGCAACAAGGCAAGTTGAGTACTTCACATGGGAAGGACCTCGTTTGATGGCCATCCAGTTAAGGTCTTCTGCTAGGACTTCAGAGTTGGAAAGGTAACATGCATTAGGGATCTTGTGTTAAGGAGAGATGTTTTCTTAGATGTGAAAGCAAAATGGCATTTTGTGTCTGAAAGTCACTAGGTGGAGTTACTGCAGATGAACAGAAGCGTATTTATACAGCTATAAAATGACTGCCTCTAACAAGTAAACCCTTTTCTAGCTTAAAAAAATAAATCCCATCCTGTTGAATTTTGTGGAGGTTCTGCATGTTCTGATAATTTCTTGATCATTGCACCACTTCTAATTTTCTCACCTGGGGTTGGGCCTGCATGCTCTTGCTTTTGTCCAAAATCCAACAAATCAGCCCCCACGTGCCCATGGTGGCCATACAATTGAGAAAAGATACTGAATATTTGCAGTGGTGGGTAGCGTTATCATTGCTTGTGAATCACTTTCCTTCTCATGCAAAAAGCAGAAAGAAAGAAACTTCATCAAGTTGGTCAAATACGATGATTTACTGATGTGGGCTTGCAACACCTGGGAGCACTCTAAAGGAAGAGGAAGATTCAGCACAGAGAAATTATGAATGTGTGAACACTAGAAACAGAAACAAAACCACATCACTGGTTTGAAAGGGTTTTGGCAGGAGCATCTTCTCTTTTTCTATGACTCTGAGAGGGGATGCATATCCATCCCTCTTATCTTTGTGAAGCAGCTGGGCTACTGCAACGACAAATCAGGAGCAAAACTAAGGGATGGTGATGGGGAAGACTTATGGCAGGGCAGTGGCAGTGCCCATCGAGACAGAGAGCAGACCAGGTTAAAATGAGGAGCTCAGACCTCCTGTGGGAGGGAGAGATGCGGCACAGGAAGCCTGCAGTGTGGCGGCGACACGAGGAAAGAGGCAGTGCTGATACCTGCCACGCAAATCCTTCTCCAGGGAGTGGGAACCCCCATTCCCCCAGCTTGGCGTGGAGCAGATGGGAGGTAAGTGTGGGATGGGCTCAGGGTGGGAGCACTGGCACTGGGGTGTCTGGGCACACCAGGGTACGATGCTGGCCCCTTAAAGCCAAGGTGGGTCAAAGCCACAGGGAGCTGTTTGTACACAGCAGCCTTTCAAATCTGAGTCTTGCGATGCCTTTCTCAGCACCGTGACCTTGCCCAGATGTGATTGCAATGTCACCAGAACCTCTGCAGAGTCCCAGGGTTTTCTGCTCACCAGCACGGAGAATGCAATGCAGGGGACAATCATGGTTGTTGCAATGCAGACTTTAGGGAGTGGGGGCTTTTACTAGTGCACAGTAATGTGGCATCTGCTGGCACAGTTCTTACGGGTGGGATTTTTGGGCATCCCCTTGATCACCTTTTTGATCCTGATTACTTGACTTTGGCACATGGATGAGGGTGCAGGCGAGGTGCCAAAGCTGCTGTAGGAAACTTAATATGCGTATGCATATTAAATACACATACACAGGTTGCTTTGACTCCCTCACTGCCTGTTCAGCATAGCTCAATCCATACCTCTGGGCTTCCTCTTGCTTTAGAGCAGCCCCAACGATACAAGGTCTGAAACATGCAAAGCAGTTTCAGAATGAGTCACTATCGAAGAAAAGGTTGGGATGAACAACTGGGTCCATCAGCAAAGGTGGTTTCCGGCCAGCAGTACACT